TCACCCTCCCGCATTTCCCACCCTCCTCCCACACTGTCTCTAGTATCAATTGTTCTCCATGTTTTTATATCTTCTGATCTTTCAGTTTCTGCCATAGAGTGCAGACATTTAGTATATATTAAGTGGGGTTATTCATGCCTCTCTTTTATAGTCTGGCTTGCTTTGCTTAGCAGTAAATCTTCTATATTTATCTACTTTCTATCAGATACCAGGGTCTCATTGCTTTTTTATGGCTGAATAGTATTCCATAGTGTATATGTGCCACATTTTTTCTATTCATCCATCTCTTTGTGGACATTTGGGTTGGTCCCAGCCATGCCTTTCAATCAAGGCATAGTGGCTTGGATTTCACAGCTCTCTGGGGAAGTCCATCCCAGGCAAGCATCCCAGACATGGCTGTGCTCAGATGGAACCCTCCTGGCTGCATTGAGTTGTTGGGATCCTCACACCCTGCTCTCCCTGCCAGATTTTTCCCTCTAGGTCTACACCCTACTCTGATGGGCCCAAGCCAATTCACACATGACAGTGTAAGATAGAAAGCATCCCCACCTTTTTTCTGGTCTGAGTTTATCCAAAAAACAGGCGCTGATGCCTATGAAGAGAACCAATAAGCAATATTATCTTACCTGCTCAGATTTGGGCCAAGCGCAACTGGACAAGCCTTAGGTTAGAGCTGCTGAAACCCTCTAGTCTGCAGGCTCTAGCTTGTCCTTTTATCCACAAACTCTCCCCATTGGTGACCTCATTTGTGAGCCATCACTCAGACTCTTTCCAAACTCCTCCTGAGCCCTTGGCCACTAGCCACTGTGTGGCCGGCTTCCAATCATTGCTTACTTCCTTTGATGTAAGTGTGCAGCTGGTTACTATGGTAACGAGGAGTGGAATGTAGGTCTGGGAACTTGACCTTTAACTCTACTTAATTGGACTCTTGCTATGTTCTCGGCTCATCTCCCTTTGGTGGTTGTGAGAGCACACACCCTTCCACGATTCTGTCCTAATTTCCTCTTATTTTGTGGTTCTCTTTCTTTGAAGTCTGTCTGGCCTATATATATATTTTTTTTCCGGAATTTGTTAACCCAATTCCTTTTGCTTCTTGTAACCAACCTTGGTGCTACTTTTTTTTTTTTTTTTTTGAGAGATTTTTGCTATAGGGTGTGTGCACTCACTGGGGAGACAGAGATAGAAAGAGAGACAGAAAGAGATAAATCAACCCCCATGGGGGATAGCCACGCTGCAATCCCTTCTCCTCCATTCTCTTCTTGAGATTTTGGGCACACACGCACATGCGCTCACTCATGTGAGGTTTAAACTACTGGGATTCAAACTGCAGTCGACTACATGGGAGTCCAGCGACATAACCTTTACACCATCTGCTGGTCTCAGTGATAAAATAAAAAATTATTTTCTCCACTTTGGCAAGAATACCTCATAGGGAACCAGCAGTTAGCATAATGGCTATGTCGCTGGACTCCCACGTAGTCGACCGCGGTTCGCATCCTGGACCCGGTGGCTTAAAACTCACGCCGGGCGCGTGTGCGTGCGTGACCAAGATCCCAAGAGGAGAATGGAGGAGAAGGGATTGCGGCGTGACCATCCTCCCTGGGGGGCGATTTCTCGCTTTCTGTCTCTATGTCTGTCTCTGTCTGTCTGGCAAGCACACACGTCCTATAGTGAAAACCTCTCCAAAAAAAAAAAACCTCATAGATAGTGCTGTGGGCTCTGTACTGCCCTACCCTGGGAGGCACACCTTGTCTGCCTGTCTCTATTGATGCGATGATTAAACTGTGGATTTGGGAAGTGACACTTCACGCCTCCTCCTATTCCTGTCAGCACTTTCTGTCGGCATTTCATCTAATGGTTTCAGCCTTTGATAATCTCTGCCTGAGTTGTTTATTTCATCAGAGGCTGCAAAACGGTGATGTTTCTAATCTTGTCATCTTTTTTAATATTTATCACATATAATACTGAGCCATCCCCATAGCCTAGTGGTTAAGGAAGCTGAATCCTACATTGCTAATTGCAGTTCCAATCCCAGCCCTGACTTGAAAGACACACCAGGCTCCCAAATCCTGATTGGATGGAAAAAGAATTGCAGGATAACCATATCCCATTGATAGGTGCTTCTCCCCCAGGCCCCTCTCTCTCTGTTTCTCTTTGGACATGAAAATAGTGAGACCAGCAGGTGGCATGGTGGTTAAGGATCAACCATAGTTCGAGTCCTGGACCTGGTGGCTTGCTTTCACACTTTCCCCCTCTTTCTCTCTCTGTATGTCTCACTCTGGTCAAATTAAAAAATAAAAACAAACAAAGAATAAATTTTAAAAATAAATAAATCTAAAAAATTTTAAAAATAAGTAATTCTTCTGTAAAATAATATATTCTCCTCATTGGTTATGACTGCTTGTTTATTCAGAAATACAGTTTGCACAAGACTAACTGGGCTTAACAATTTCCTATTCATTGATGTTAGCTGCCAATTTTTTTTTTTTTGAGAGGTTTTTTGCTATAGGGCATGTGCGCTTGCCAGACAGACAGAGAGAGACAGAAAGCGAGAAATCACCCCCCAGGGGGGATGGTCATGCCACAATCCCTTCTCCTCTATTCTCCTCTCGGGATCTTGGGCACGCACGCACACGCGCCTGGCGTGAGTTTTAAGCCACTGGGTCCGGGATGCGAACCATGGTCGACTACATGGGAGTCCAGCGACATAGCCACTACGCTAACTGCTGGGTTCCCACCAATTTTTTTTTTTGAGAGATTTTTGCTATAGGGTGCATGCACTTGTCAGAGAGACAGAGAGAGAGAGACAGAAAGTGAGAAATCACTCTAAAGGGAGATGACCACGCCACGATCTCCTCTCATCCATTCTCCTCTTGGGGATTTTGGGCACACGTGCACACATGCCCAGCATGAGTGTCAAGCCACTGGGTCTGGAACTCAAACCACAGTTGACCATGTGGGAGTCCAGTGCCTTAACCAGTACTCTACTTTCCAGCCTCATAGCTGCCAATTTTCCGAGAAAAGGTTGGTCCGCTATTTTTCCAGTAATGACCAATGGCTACATGTTTCTTCATCACTATGAATTTTTTGTTACTTTGCTCCTTTTTTTTTTTTTTCCAAATTGCCAGAGGGCACATGCACTCATCAGAGGTAGTCATAGAGGGAGGGAGAAAGCACTCCCTATTAGAGTGTGGTCATGTCACAATCCCTTCTCCATTTTTCCAGTCTGTCAGGATTTGGGGCATGCACACACATGTACCTGGTATGTTTTTCAAGCTGCCAGGGCCAGGACTCAAACCATAGTCAGCCATGTTGGATTCAGCTTCCCTTAACTGCTAGGCTACAGGGCCTGCCCTGCTGTCTTTGTTCTTGGTGGGTTTAAATGACCATTGAATGCTAAGAAGACATTGTAAGAAAGACCACAGTGGTCTCTTTCTGGATCTGTATGGATTTGAGTCAGTCACGTTATTCCTACTGGTCTTATGAGGTCATCACATCATATCACTCAGCACGTAGCTGAACACTTCCCTTAATCATTCTTTGGAAGATTTAGGGTGATCTGTTTTCATTCCTATTAAAATTTTACCATAAACTCCATGAACCCAAGGCAGTGTCATATAGTCTTCTTTTCCTGGTTTCCTGTCTGTGTATCTAGTACAAGTTCGGGTATCCAGAAAGTTCTGGGAATTAGTTGTAGATTGAGTAGGTGTACACTTAGAATGGTATTCTTTCCTTTTTCAACATCATATTTACTTTCTTGTCTTTGTCCTGGACAAAAGTAGCGGTACATCCAAACACCAAGTCTCTGACACTCAGTGACCGTCTTGCAACTTGATTCCATTTTGACAGTTACTGGTTGGAGTTAGTGTAGACCCTACAAGTTAAAGAGCAAGGTTCCCAATGAGTCTATCCTTACTTCAGACAGGTGGCATTTCCCAGACCATCTGTAGCTCTGTCTGACTTGGCTATAAATGTGGGGGTTCCCATGATCTCCCTTCTAGGGTCAATAATTTGCAAGAATGACTCACAGAAGTTAGGAAAACACTATATTTGCAATAATTTTATTATACAAAATATAAATGAATGGATGGATAAGGAGATACACAGAGAGGTAAGGTCTGGAATGATTCAGAGCTCTGGAGCTTCTGTTCCTGTGAAATAAGGAAGTTCTACCTTTCTGAACATTGGAAGGTTCAGAGCCTCCTTGTCCAGAGTTTTAAACCAGGCTTTTATTACATAGGTATGATTGGTTAAATCATTGGCCATATGACTGAACTTAATCTCTAGCTCCTTCTCTTTGATGATTGGGGGGGTGGTGGGACTAAAATTTCCATCTCTCTAATCCCATGCTTGGTCTTTCTGGCATGACCAACGCCTATCTTTAAACTACTGAAGGGTTATCAAAAGCCACTTTTTTTTAGTGTCAACTTAAGGAAGATTGGCAGGGGTTTCCCACGAATACAAAAGACTTTTACCAGGAAATTCCAAGGCTTCTTGAAGCTCTGTACCAGGAACTAGGCACAAAAGCCAGATATACTCTTTACTGTATTACGGTTGGTATATGCCTCAGTAATAACACTTTCCTTGTTTGCATTGTTTCTGATGAGAGATCTGCTGTTAGCCTGATGGGATATCCTTTGTAGGTAACTTGATGTTTCTCTCTTGCTAATCTGAGTATCTTGCCTTTGTCTGTGATTTTGGTCAATCTGGCTATAATGTGTCTTGGAGAAGATCTTCTTGGGTTGATTTTACTTGGTGTCTTCTGTATTTCTTGGGATTGGATCTTTGAATGCCTCATTAGGTTTGGAAAGTTTTCTTGCAGGATTTCATGGACTAGATTATCAATGCCCTTATGAGTCTCTTTGCCTTCTGAGATACTAATTATCTGGATATTTGGACATTTGATGGTATTTAGTATTTCTTTTTTTCTTTTTTTTTTTTTTAAGTTTTTACTGTTTATTTATGATAAGTCTCAGACCCGCTGATCCAGGGTCGTCTCCCCAGGGTCACCTCCCTCAGAAATTCTTGGAGACGATGCAGTCAGCCTTGGCCAGCCCGAGAACGGAGTTGTCGGATTCCCCCATCCTGCAAATGGCCCCGCAGATGGCATAGGTCTTGAAGTGGCCGTTAAACCTGCCGGTGACCTTGTCCACCTCGGCCACGTTCATCTGGATGGACGCGTGGTCCTTGGCGCCGATGATGCGGTTGCTGGCAGAGAGGTCCACGAACTCGCTGGCGTCGTTCCGCATCTCAGAGGCCGCTCCTGCTGCCGCCACCACGCGTGAGCGGAGGAAGCGATATTTAGTATTTCTTGTATATTATTTTTATATTTCGGGGCAATTTTCTCAGTTTTTGTGATGGGTTTTTCTAGGCCAGTGATTCTATCTTCTACATCTGAGATTCGATTTTCTGTATGATCCAGTCTGCTTTTAACACTTTCAAGGGAGGTTTTGACATCCTGTATTATAGCCTTCATCTCTAACAGGTTCCATCTGATTCTTCTTTTTATTTTAGAGGTTTTTGCTATAGGGCGCGTGCGCTCGTCAGAAAGACACAGAGAGACAGAGAGACAGAAAGCCAAAAGTCATCCCCAGGGAGGATGGCCATGCCGCAATCCCTTCTCCTCCATTCTCCTCTCAGGATCTTGGGCATGCACGCACATGCACCCGGCATGAGTTTAAGCCACTGGCTCCGGGACTCGACCCACGGTCAACTACATGAGAGTCCAGCGACATAGCCATTATGCTAACGGCTGGTCCCTGATTATTTATTATGATGTATATTTCCTCTTTTAGATCTTGCAAGAATTTCCTCACCTTCTGGAACTTGTCAACTCCTTTCTCCTGCCTCTTCTGCAGTTCATTGTCTCTCTTCTCTTCCATCTCTGTTAGCTTTGTCACTATGAATATTCTAAATTCTTTATCTGACATTTCTGTGAGTTCCATTGTACTGTCTGAGGACATCCACCTTCAATATTAACTCCTGTAACATAATATTTTTGAAGGTTGGGAAATAGGGCCAGCTGCAGCAGCACAGAAGTAACACAACTCTTTGAAAATCCCAGGTTCGCATCCCAAGGTCTCACTGTAGGTGCAAAGAAGAGTTATTCTTTTCCCTTGTTGGAGAGGTATTTCCTTGCTTTCTCATGTTTCTTGTGACCCTGAGGGGATTTCTGGTCATCTAATTCTTGAAGTTCAGTCTGAGCGTTCAGAGGCGTGCAGGAGGAGGTGATCTGCAATCTCTCTTCCACTCCGTTTTCACTCTTTGTGTGTCAGATTCAGTGGGAATTGAGGACTATTCTGACCCTAACAGTATTCAGATGTTTCGATACCGTTTACTTGGGAACCTGCCTGCTGTGGGTGGGGTAGCACTTTCAGTTCCCGAGCCCCAGAATCAACAGCAAAAGAGACGGTGCTGAAGCCAGAAAGAACTGGGGATGTCTGTGCCCTCCCAACCCTGGGGGATGTGGCAATGTCTGGAGACATTACTGGTTGTCACAGTACAGTGGGAGGAGGGCACTACGGTGGGCAGAGGCCAGTAACACTGCTCAGTGCACAGGATGCTCCCCACCCCAACAAAGAACTATCAAGCCCCAGTGTCAGTGGAGCTGGGGCCGAGAAGTCGGCAGAGGGAGAAAGCAACCCTGAGCTTATTCCTGTGTCTTGGGTTGCCTGCCCACCCAGTATTGCTGGTCAGGTTAGGGAACCAAACTGCCGGGGGCTGGCTTTTCTGTTCTGCGTGGCTGGATCAATTCCAAGTTGCTGCAGCAGCAGAATTTCTTTGATTCAAGCCTGGTACAGGGCTCTCTCTCCAGACGACAGCTCCTTTAGATTATTGGAGTGTTTTCTTTTTCTTTATTAGTGTGTGCGCTCACCAGAGAGGGACAGAGACAGGGAGAGGAGAAAGCAGCTCCCCTGGAGAATGATCCTGCCACAATCCCTTCTCCTCCATCTCTCCCTTCTTTTGGGATTTTGGGCATGCATGCACATGTGGCCAGTGATTTTTTTGCCTTTTGTTGTTGTTGTTGTTGTTGTTGTTCTTTTGAGAGATTTTTTTTGCTATAGGGCACATGTACTTGCTGTAGAGACAGAGACAGAGAGATAGAAAGACAGAAAGAGAGAAATCACCCCCCAGGGGGAGTGGCCACTCTATAATTCCTTCTCCATTCTCCTGTCAGGAGTTTGGGCACATCCGTACATGTGACTGGTGAGAGTGTCAAACTGCCGTGTCCAGGACTCAAAGGTGTGTTGGCCACGTGAGAGTCCAGAGGCTTAACCACTATGCCACTTACGACACCATGTGCCCAGTGTTTCCTAAGCTACTGTGTTTGGGATTTGAACTGTGTGGTCAGCCAAGTGGGATCTGACTGCCGTAACTACCAAGCTGTAGAGCCATCCCCAACTTTTATTTATTTATTTATTTATTTATTTATTTATTTATTTATTTATTTGAAGAGGTTTTTTTT